CCTATGATAAAAAGAACAAACTATCAGCAGCATCACTGCTAACCGTGCACACTGGGCATGCAACTATCTGACAGATAATCAATTTCTTTGCCTGTCAAAGCAACTGAAGGCCTGCTCATGCACGCGCTGCCAAGCCTTACTATTTCTAACGTCTTCAAGATTTCTCTTATCAGCAGCTCCCGATGGTGCTTGACAACCATGCAGTGCCTAGGAGTAGATGCCAAGGGGGCTAGAAATCGCTGTAGAAACGCTGTAAATGTGTTCCTTTAGGTGCTCATTAATGCACCGGCCTGTTTGGCGACGTAAAGCTTGTCACAAGACAGTGGCATAGAGTGTACCATGCCTTGAGCACATGGAAGAAAAGTGTTCAGATGCTTGGTTTTGCAAGCACGTGTTTTACGAGCATCAGGGTTAATGGCCGTGGACAAGTTGACCAGTTTCTTGGGAGCAGAAAAAAAAAACGCCAGGTTTTTACAGAAGACACAGCACAGGCACAGCGAAAGCTGGAAGAGCGGCCTTTCAGAGCCTTTTATAAACACTATTTGGGTAACTGCTGCAAGCACACTTGCTGGGAACTCACTACGGCATTAATAATAATAATTTCTGGGTAGTAGGCTGGCATTCGCTACGCTATTTTTTGAGAAGCATGGTATCCGCTCAACACTTGCAAGGAATTTTGAGCCAATCATTGATGCAGTGGCTCACGACGATGAGGAATTATGCCTGAAGTCTGTACGTGTCACAGTTAATAGGTGATTAAAAACAAGCTTTTGTTATGGATTGGAGGATCGCATGACCCTCTCGTTATGCTATTCGCATTGTGCGATGACTGGCTGTTCTTTCACGGTTCTAAAACGCTTTACAAGTCATAATACCGTAATTCCTTACCCGATATTAAGCATGCCTAAGGCAAGTTTGTCAAGTTCCAGGCACCGGCGGGGTTCAGCGGTAGAATACTGAACTGGCGCTCAATAGACCCGGGTTCGAATCCTATTGTGTCCTTGGTACTAGGTTTTTCTTATTTCGAGCGATAGTGGTTACGGACACTGGCGGCGGACAACTACGGCGCAGCGCCTGATCCGAGTTGTGATCTCGTAACAGCTTTTGCTGTGAAATCACAGCCTATCCACGGAGTGAATGATGAGTGGGGCGAAGCGTCCGTCAGCCCGTCCGTCCGTCCGTCCGTTCTTGCTTACGTCCATCCGCGCGGCTATCCGTGTGTCCATCCATGCGTCCATCCATCTGTCCGTCCGTCTTCTAGCTTGTCTGTCCATCCGTCCGTGTGTCCATCTAGTGAACACTCCAAGTACTGCCATCTTGCATCTCGCATCCCCTGTGGCACATACCCGCTCCGCATGTCCGTCCGTCCATCCGTCCGTCTGTGTCACAGAACGAGCGCTAAAAATGGGCGCGCCGCCAAATTCTTGCGGTAACGCGCGGAAGAGACGCCGGGAGGTCAAAAGAAAAAAAAAAGAAAACAAACATCCAAGGCTCCCCGGGCGCGCGCTCTCCCCTTGGAAGCGTGGCTTCGCCGACGAACCTCCTCACCCCACATCGGCGGCCGAGATAGCCCGCGAAAGTTCTAGAACGAAAGGGCCGTGGTCATACCGAGTTGAGTCATCGGCCGCGGAGGGCATTCCAACTGTCTCGCCCTCTTCCCAGCCTTCGCTGCGTATCGCGCCGACGAAATGACGAGAACCTTCTGGAATGTCGCGCGCAAGGTATTTAACCAAGCAGCCGAGATGAGAGATCAGGAGAAGACGGAAGTTAACGCCAGAGCGCGTAGGGATTCCGCCGTGCAGTCGGCGAAGGTTTTGTCCGTAGAGACAAAGCAGGAGATGTTTTCCACCTGAGGGGTGAAGGCTCGAGCTACGAGCAAGAGCGTGTGTCTACCGCTATCGAGCGAAGACGCGTGGCAACAGCTGCGTGTGTGAAGCCGACGTGTTTCCGGCGAAGAAGTTTGAAGCTTGGAGAGTGGCCAATTGAAGGCGCGAGGTTTCCTGGAAGAGAAACTTCGAGGGCGCGGAACGACAACAACGCTGGACTTTGAGTGAGTGATTTTCGGAGTAGTATCATCTAGACTTTGGTTCCAAGAACTTTGGACTGAATAGGTTTTCCATCTCTTTAGTCTTTAAGTGTCTTGGTTGTTCAATGCATGCGACTGCATTGTAGTGCGTATCGTTGTCTGTGTCCGTTGTTTTGAGTGTGGCTGATTGTACTGTGAAGTACGTTGTTTTATTGGTGACTTATTGTCTGTAACTATTGTGGAGTGTGCATTCTTGTGTATTGTTTTCGATTCTGCCATTATTGAGAATATAATATTTGTTTGTTTATCAACTCTCGGCTCTGACTTGTTCTTTGGACCACAGCCGGCGTCCGCTGGCGCGCCAAAAAGGACCACTTCTAAATTGTCCACGCTTTCGTGGTGCGGTTCAGGGGGCCGATATTTCGGCCCTTGGAATTAGCCCGGCGATCGCCTCCCTAATTAACGGGACCCCTGTGTGACAGTCTGCTAGTCTGTCCGTGCATCCATCTAGTGAACACTCTTAAGTACCGCCATCTCGCATCCCGGTGGCTACATACGACAACGACGAAGGATGGACAGACCCGCACCTTAAAGAGCTTCGCCCCTAAAAGATCAACCTGACATCTGCTGGCTATTCTCTTCAGAAACCAGAATAGCCGGCAGATGTCAGGTTGATGCCTTTTTTTCTGCTCTTAAGGAACTGGCTGGATTGTGTCAGGCTGCTAATCCTGACACTTGGGGAACCCGCACTTTCAAAACCAAGCATCAGAACAAGTTTGTTTAATGTGCTGAAGGTGTGGTATGCTCTCTTTCATTGTCTTGTGGCAAGTGTTACATTGGCCAAATGGGCTGTTGTATTAATGAACGTTCAAAGGAACACCCTTACATCGTTTCTACAGCAATATCTGGCCACCTTAGCATACACTGCTGCGACTGTGGGTCCATTCCTGAGCATCAGTGTTGCACGTTTCTCAAATGCCATCAGAATAAGCTAAGAGAAATCTTGAAGGCGTTAGAAATAGTGAGGCTTGGCAGCGCATGCATGAACAGGCCTTCAGAGGGTTGCATGCGCAGTGTACACAGTTAGCAGTGATGCTGCTGATAGTTTCTTTTTATTCTTGCTTTTATCATTATTTTTCTTTCTCTCGTTCGAAACTGCACAAATATATATTGTACAGTGTTAACAAATAACCTTTGTTGTAAGTCAGCGTTGTTCATAGTGTCCTCCTTTTTTCTTGTGCTCAGTTTCGTGCTTTTTTTTTATCCACCATGTACTAACATGCCCAAGCATCCACTTTAGCAACATATTTCGACCCCTTTGTATACTCATGTGCATGTATTGTGTAATAATCATTGCCAGTGTGATTGCTGGTGTCTGTAAACTACTGGTAATAATGTAGAGAGCTGTCTGTGATGTTGCTGTGGCACTAGAAAAGAGTAAATGTCACAATATGGGTAGAAAGAAGTCGAAATTTTAAGAGCTGGTTTTCTTTGTTAGACGCAATAATAATGAGAACTAACAGACAATAATGCCTAAAAAAGTATTGGTGATGTTATCATTTAATGTACATGTGATGAAATAAGTAGACGGAAGGAAAACTTGCAGTGGCTAGGGACTGAACCTACGACCTTCGAATAATGCGTTCGATTCTTTACCAACTGAGCTACCGCAGCAACCCCCCCCCCCCCCTCCCGCTCGTCCATTTTATGGAGCATCTATGTGCATTTAAATGTGGTAGCATCAATCAGTGCTGCCAATAGCCATGTCGGCAAGTGTGGAACACTATTTTTCTTCCTGCTGATGTCACTTAGCATGTGATTTTATTACAAACTGGCAGCTCACAAATACTAATAGTTCTGAGTACTAATAACGTCTCTTATGCTATCCTTGGCATTTTTGTATGTTCTCATTAATACGGTGTGAGTTGGTGTATTGCTCAGTCATACTTACCAGAATTATGAAAAATCAAAAATGCATTTAAAAAAAAGCTAGACTATCTATATTTTTTTAAAATTCTGAGGTCCACTCAAACTTTAGCTATTGAGTTTAATGTATTTCTTTCTAGTAAGTCCATGAGCTTCACTAGATAGTATTTTGATTCTCATGTCATAGGTTGTTGAAAAATGTACCGTATTTACTCTCGTAATGAACCCACCTATCTTTCAGAAAAGTTGACGCCAATTAGGGGGAGGATTCTTTACGCTGGAGAAAAAAAGTCATGGGAGTTATAACAGCGAAAATTTTGCATGACGGTTTTGCTTGTTTTGGCCCACGAAATGCGCGTTGAATCATTTTTGTAGCTCAAAGCTCTTGTTTTTTCACGTAACGATCGCACGCGGAGCGACGCCGAAGTGTCGTCCAGCCGCTCGGCTCCCATGCTTCAGCACATGCTCGACCAACTTTGAAACCAGCCGTGTAACTAGCGTGCCGGTCAAACCCGCCCTCTGCAACAGGTGTCTCCTAGGCGACACGTCGGCGCCGTGGGTGCTTCGCATGCCTCTGAGATGGCGGGCGCATGTCGTGTTTCTACGCTGTGCGTCCTCCTTCTCAAAGGCCATGAGTTTGTAGTTTGTTTTTTGCTTTGTTCTCGTGCTGCCGTGCTTGCGTGGCGCTCTGCCGCAGAAAGCGTGACTTTTAAATTTTGATAGATGTCGTTCGCGTTCGGGCTACCCGCAGCTGTTTAGCATGGTTGCGAAACTATGTTTTGACTTTCATTGCGTCATTATTTTAGGATATAATGGCTTGATTTAATATTGTTTTGATCGTCAACGGTACTGGTTATCACAACGAAATAAAATGAACCAGATACATTAAAAAATTTTTTTTCCTCTCAAGGACCAAGGTGGGAGGTAGGTTTATTATGCAAATGAGTTCATTACGCAAGTGAATACGGTAAATGTTGTCTTGTAGCATTTCTTTCAAAGTTGGGCTTGCTGATAATGCTTGACTTTGGTCCACTATTGGCTATTGCAGCCAATGCAGCACCAGCCATCTTCACAACACCCTGCAATGAACCAGCATGGTCAACAGCCACACATGGGTCAACAGCCAGGTGGCCAACACATGGCGCAGCCACCCTCACACCCATCAGTGATGCAGCCTGTCATGGGCTCTGCACACCAGCCCAGTCAAGGCCATCAGATGCCTCAGCATACAGCCAGTCCACAGGGGCCTGTTCAACAGCAGGTATTACCATTTACTAGCTTCAGACATGTACAGTCTGTTGCTGATGTTCTTAGGTGAACATGTTCAGTTGGTGCAGGGGTAGCCGTGTAGCGGTGCTACGTTTGTGAGGGTTACTTCTTTTGGAAGTTGGGGCTTAGGTCACATTCGTGCATGTGACCGTGGCTTATTTGAAGCACAGTCCCATTTGATAGTGTGGTCATGTGACTGTCTGCTTAAAGTTTCAACTGTTTTGGGCCATCCAGCCATTTCATAGTTTGCAGACACAGTCTTTGGCAATCCATGATCGATGCACACGAAGGAAGCAATAAATTAGCGGAGAGTGTGGCAAACAAAACTGAGGCCAGAAAACAAAAATACAGTCGAATCTCATTAATTCGAACTTCCGGTTAATTCGAATTCACGATGAGGTCCCGTCAAAGCTATAGCTATGTGTATTCCAATGAGCGAAAACGCCCAGTAATTCGAACACAAGCATTTGCGACGGTTAATTCGAACGTACCGCGCTCCGAAAATGCTCTCAGCAATCCGCCCAATGCCGGGGCGGCACCTGCGACACCTCAACGCTGCGCGCGAAGGAAAAAGAAAGGAAAGAAAAGGCTGTGGTGGAATATTTGCTCTCTCTCAAATGCTGCTCTGCGACAGCCCATGCCACGCTTCTCCCTTTTCCGCCCCTGCAACGTTAAGGAGGGACATGGGTCTTAGGGCTCTCTCATTGATTTTTGAACCATATGTGACAAAAGTTGGCATGCTTACTTAGTTTGTTCTCCGGACTCTAAAAATGTAGTTATTTTTTCTGTAGCTTCATTAGGTCATTAAATAATCAAGATAACATTTTCTATTATTCTTACCATAATAGAAAAATAACCACCTGTTTAAAATTGATAAATAACGTACGGAATGACAGTAGAAAGCATAAGACATGCAACATAAGAAGCACTTTTTTGAATGGGTCATTATTTCTTACTTTACAGTACACTAAACTTTACAGTCCTGAATGTGGCCATTGTGTGGTCACACAAAAGACTAGTTTGAAAAACTTGCATCAAGAGGAATCAAAATCTGCTTCCTATGTTGTGTGCTCCAAACATATAGCTTCATGCTGCAAAGTAAAATATTCTGCTATCTGTAATAGTTTCAGATATATTGCAGTAATTTTCATGCAGGGTGTATAAAATTGCCATTTTGAGAAAATGATGAAAACAAATAATTCTAACATTTTTAACTGTAAAAATGTATGCACTTATAGTTACATAGCCATTGACATATAAATGAATGCTAGAAAGCCTAAGGAGTGTAATGCTGTAAGCTGATCGAAAATTGAACGAGTACTTCTCGAATTACAGCACAGTAAAGTTTATTGCATGTAACCAAATACAGAAATTTTTATATTAAAATAAAAAAAATGAAGCTGCTCATTAAAAATGGGCTGCCAGCATTGTTTTTTGTGCACATTTAGCTACATTGTGCCAAAACAATTACAGCTCTAGCTGTCCTAGGTCCACTTTTACCGAACAAGCAAAAGAAAGTGGTCAAAATCTGTGCTTCGAGAATAATGCTGTTAAAAAATTAATTTTGCCGTTCCGAGAGAAAAATATTATGGCACACATACTTTTAGTCAGTTAATATGCACCGGGAATATAATAGGACTGATTGTTTGTACGAGATGTCGTTTCTTCTAGTCCTGTAGCAAGTTGTTGCCGTGTGCTCGTCTGCCTCAAGGTCGCTTGTCAGTTCGGTGACTGGACTGACGGTGACGTGCGACAAATGTGCGTGCATCATCCACAATATATCGAATAACGCGGCGATGTTTTCCGGCTGGTCCCGAATAAGTTACCCGTAAGTGTCGCGAACCAAAGTTGCTCCCTCGCTCATCAATTTCAAGGCTACACGAGTGCCGAGGTGTTAGTTTCCTTTTCACGCAAGACTGCCGTATTTTCGAGTGGAGATCACGACGTCGCGAACACGTCGTTAAAAGCAGTCTACCTGTTGCCAGTAGCCTCCATTGCGGGGGCCGCGAGCATGTTCACTGCGAACGGATTGACTTTCTGTTGTTGGTCGACGTACGGCGTACTCCACTCTGACGACCCGTCTCGCAGTTCAAGGTCCTTTCGTCCTTTCGTCAACCACGACATCGGCGGGTTTAGCGATAAGACTGCGCTTCCGTTCCGTCACTACAAAGATTGATATCTCTTGTAGCTTCACTTCTGCTTTTTACTTGCCGTCTTCTAACTGATGAGGCTGCAAAACACAGCCATTCTCAGTAACGTTGTCGGCAACCAACGGGCTCGTACGTGATTTAGGCCTACACCGGTGACTCAGCGACCGTCGTTCACTGCGTCGAGTTTGTTATCCTCATTGTCCTGAGCCATAGCGGGGATCTTTCTGAAGTTCACAGTGAACGAACGACCGCCACACCCGCTTCACAACTTACTGTAGCACGGAACTTCTTTACTGCCGCAAGCAGTCCATAGCACCATGACAAAATGGCGCATGTCCGTGCGCGTCACGATGGTGAAGCAGGTGCCGAAAGCGCCCCTTGGCCAATCGGATGCCTAGGTTTGGTCACGTGCCCCAAGCAGCCAATTGAATCACGCGCTAGTGCTTCTCGATGACGCGTTTTTGCTATAAAAACAATGAGCAAGGTGAGCCAGCGGTGGTGGGAAATTGAAGATGAAGAATGATCCTTCCAAACGAGACCAAGATGAACACGATAGCTCGTGTGTAAAGGCAACAGTTTGGTGTGGAAAAAGCGCTATTTTAGCGTCAATTTGCGCTCACATTCATGTCACAAGGATGTTATAAATTTATTTTGCGCTAGAAATAATGACGCGACAAGCTAGAAACTTCTCGGATAAGTGCAAAAATAGGCGCAGGTTCCGAAAATGTCAGCTTCAAAAAGTCGATTTTTTTGTGATGTTCGGCCTTCTAAGACCCGTGTCCCCCCTTAAGGGGAGACCCGGGTCGAAAAGTCGCGGTTTTCCGGAAAATTTTCGCTTTTTTTTTCCGGCTGTATTGGCATCCTTGGACTATAATCTATTACTTCTGAAAATATCAAGCTGAAATTCGCACGAGAAATTATCAAAAAATGCTTCCAAGTGGGCAGCGGTGACGCGAAAAACGGCGCAGTTCGCGTCGTCCTGTCGCGAAACAACGCGTTGGCCGCCATTTGCAATCGTGCACGCATGCTGCGAAGGCCGTATCCTTCATAATCCACTGGTAGCCAGTCTCGTGCCTTCACGCAGAATAAACAAAAACGAGAAAAACAACGCGTACGTCACGCGTTTTGAATATCGCGGCACACAGCGCGAGGCCGCCATTGGACGGCGGTGCGCTCCACGCTCCTCCCCCTCCTATCTCTCCGGCAAAAGAGCGAAGCCTCGGATGTCGTGATCGAGTTTTTCTGCGTTTCTCTGCATTTTTGCGTCATGGCAAGCCCGAAGAATTGCAGTTCAGATAATCGAAAGTTCAGAACTCGCCACAAGTATCGAGGGAAACGGCGTCGGACGCTTCGCAAAGCGACAGCGAACGACGATGTCGCCCCCGACCAATGCCCCGACGCTCCGACTTCGGATAGGCCTAACACTGTCACCGAACCCTGCGACAGTGGTTGTGAAATAGCCGCTGCCGTGGAATTCGTCAGTGCATCCCAAAGGAAGATTGGATTCTTCGAGAGTGAACGTAGACCGGTAGATGCTGCTACTGCGAACATGCTGCTTTGCGAAATCGATGCGCTGACGGCACTTGTGGCGGGTGCGCAATGCCCAACCTGCCGCGAACGGAAGCTCGGCGTGCGAGAGGCAGCTGGAAAGCGCAAAGGACTTTCGGCATTCCTCGAACTGTGCTGTCAAAATTCTGATTGCCCTGAATCTGCACTTTCGTCCACGCACACGTCGAGACGTACTGCTTCGGCCGGGGACCAAGGAACGAGCGCTCGTTTTGACAGCGGCAGCTCGCGTGACAGCTTTGCTGTAAACGTGAAGGCAGTTCTGGCAGCACGCGCTATAGGCGCAGGCCACGACCAACTTTCACGATTTTGTGCGATTCTCGGTCTTCCGAGCCCGATGCATCACAAGACATTCCACGGCATTTGCAAGAAGCTCCATGGTGTGGCGATGGCGGCAGTGAGCGAAAACTTGCACCAGGCACGAAACATCAGGAAGGACGCAGTCGGCGGCAGAGATGTGCCAGTCATGTTTGATGGCACCTGGCAGAAAAGAGGTCATAAAAGCCACAATGGAGTGGGCACAGTCGTCTTCCTGGACACGGGGCTCTGCCTCGATTTTGAAGTTCTTTCGAACTACTGCCATGCTTGCAGTATACACAGGGACCTTGGGGAGGATGAAGAGATATGGCGAGCTTTTCATCTTCCAGTTTGCCAAAAAGTGCCGCCATATCCACGAAGTGAATGATGATGAGTGGGCGAAGCTCCGGAGGTAAACCTGGTAAACCATGAATCCTCTGTACATTTTGCCCACTCGATTTTATTACATCGCTCCCCCTAGCGTACGTCGCCGCACTAAATCAAACGATTGCCTTCAACCAATGACACGCGCCATATGTGACATCATTCCTATTTTATAAGATCTCGCGTCTTTCATCAACTACAAGTACCGCTTTCTAGTTTATAACATCTTGCATCTTTTCATCATCAGCTACAAGTACCACCATCTAGTAAACACTACAAGAACTAAACGAGAGGTGGCTACATACAGGAGACGGTACCGCCATCTAGTGAACACTGCAGGAACTAAACTAGAGGTGGCTACATACAGGCGACGGTACCGCCATCTAGTGAACACTGCAAGAACTAAACTAGAGGTGGCTACATACAGGGGACGCACAGCCCACGCCCTAAGGAGCTTCGCCCCTAAAAAACACTGACTGCTCATCCCATGCAATGGAACCTGCGGCAGCTGTCAATATATGGCAGAGGACCTTGTCTTATGAAACTCCACTGCGATTCACCAGCTTCCTAAGTGATGGTGACAGCAAGGCCTACA